GGGATTTTTAAGGATTCCTTACATGCTTGAGGCTTTTCCTATTCTTGTTGCTTTTTTCTCAGTAATGAAATACAGTGCAGCTGATGTCTGGAACTCGTTGGCTTGGACAGACTCCTGAAGCTGAGTGTAGGGTGAGAGGCCACTGGCCAAAGGGAAACACTCAATACCCTCTTCCTTTAGTGGGACCTCCCTCCCATGTGAATGGATGGGCATTTCCCAGCAAGGACTGGGAAAGACCATGGTGGGAAGAGCAGAAAGGTGAAGTGAAAATGAGAGGTTTGCTTGATATGCTGTGACTCTGGCCTATTAGCCAACCTGAGAGACCAGACTGATTTTTTTTGTTTTGTAAACTCCCTCCTACTACCTAGCCTGTGGCCAGTGCCACACACATGTACCCAGTAAATGCTAGTTATCTTTGTCTTATTATCTTGGTTCCATCATCCATATGGTAACTGCCTTTTCCTGTTCTGAATCATTGCTGTTTTTTTTTTTTAATCCTCACCCAAATACATGCTTTTAGAGAGAGTGGAAGGGAGAGAGAGAGAAACAGATTGGTTTGCCCCTCCCATATGCACCCGACCCAGGATTGCATCTCAAAACTGGGTAAGTGCCCTGACCAGGAATTGAACCAGTGACTTTTTAGTGCATGTGACAATACCCAACCAACTGAGCTACACTGGCCAGGGCTAGGTCACTGCAGATTTAAGCAATGCCTTCCCTGTGTTGAACAGTGGGGTTGGAGATCAAGCCCTGAGCCCAAAGATAGGGACTTCTCACTAACTCAGTGACCAACAATCTTCAGTTTCCAATCAGTGAGGAATCTACTCTGTTATATCACTAACTGACATTTATTCATATTGTCCATGAGAATAGGATAATTATTTCAAGGGGAAAGAAGAGAATGAGAACATGAATGGTGGTGGTACGACATTTCAGAGCAGAGCGATGAGTAAATTATACAAATAATGAAATTATCTTAATCTTCTAGTATGTGAATGAAGGTAATAAATGAGAGAATTTATTTATAAATGAGAGATTTATATTTATAAATCTATTATATACTTGGCAACACTAGTCTATTACATTAGTGAGTATAAATCAAAAGACTGATATAAAGATACTCTTGTTAAACTCTTCATATGTGCTTTGTCGTCTTTGGCTCACTTGTCAAACTATCTTATATGATAGATATTAACCTATGCCGCCATCTTCGGTTCTCTCCATGATAGATACTTTTGAAGGAGGATGATATGAGTTGAATTGTGTTCTCCCAAAAAGTTATGTTGAGGACCAACCCCCAGTATTTCAGGATGTGACTGTAGTTGAGATAGGTTCTTTATTGAGATTATCAAGTTAAAAAAATCATTAGGGTGGACCATAATTCAAAACACCTGTTGTTCTTATAAAAAGGGGAAACATGGCCCTTGCCAGTGGCTCAGTTGGTTGGAGCATTGCCCTGTACACCAAAAAAGTTGTGGGTTTGATTCCTGGCCAGGGCACATACTTAGGTTGCAGGTTCAATCCCTGGTTGGAGCGCGTATGGGAAGCAACCTATTGATGTCTCTCTCTCTCTTTCTGTCTTTTAAACCAATAAAAAAATATCATTGGATGAGGATTAAAACAAAAAAGGGGAGACATGGACATAGACACACACAGAGGGGAGGTAATGTGAGACACACAGAGAGAACACTGTGTGAAGAAGGAAGATTGGAATGATGCATTTATGAGCTAAGGAACACCTGGGACTACAGAAGCTATGACAGAGGTGTAGAAATAATTCCCTCCTTAGAGCCTTCAAATGGAGCATGCCCTGGTGACAATCCTATATAATAAAAGCCTAATATGCAAATTGTCCCCTTGGGCTGTCATTCGACTGGGAGTTCGACCGCTCTCTATGATGTGTGCTGACCACCAGGGGGCGGTGCAAAACATGGCAGATGCCAGTGATGTGCTGCGACCTGGGGGTGGAGGTTATGGGGACAGAGGTGCAGTGAGAATGTGTGGTGTCCACCAAGCTTGCTCTTACTCCCCCTGCTACCCTCCCCTGGGACGCCAGGGCTTGCTTGCCAAGGAAGCCCCCATGCTCAAGTGCCAGGCACCTACGAGGAGCCCACCCCACACCCACGTGGCATCTTCCGGGTGAGCCAGGCTGCAACCGCCAGGACTGCAGGGGCCTGGCTGGGCTTCCCAGGGGTTCACACAGGAGCCAGTCTGCGAGGCCGGCCAGGAGAGAGCACACTGCCCACCTGGCTTCTGTGCAGTGCTGCTAGGTGGCTCAGAGGCCCACGCTGTGCCCGGCCTGCAGCATCTCTGCATGGGGACTCGGGCACAGTGACTCAGGTGGAGGGGGGCACACAGGGGTCCAGGGGCCCAGGTGCTTTCCAGGGCCCAGAAGTCAGCTGGGACCTGCCCTTCCATGCCAGACTCTTGTACTTCAATCACCAGCCAGACCTAAGAACTGCACCTGTGCATGAATTTTGTGCACTGGGCCACTAGTTTAATTATAAACTGCTTGCTTTAAGAATTGTGTGACTTGCCATGACTGGTTTGGTTCAGTAGATAGGGTGTCAGCCTGTGGACTGAGAGGTCCCAGGTTTGATTCCAGTCAAGGGCATGTACCTTGGTTGGGGGCACATCCCCAGTGGGGGGTATGCAGGAGGCAGCTGATTGATGTTTCTCTCTCATCGGTGTTTCTAACTCTCTATGCCTCTCCCTTCTTCTCTGTATAAAAAAATCAATAAAATATGTTTTTTAAAAAAGAATTGTGTGACAATAAATTTCTGCTGTTTTAAGCCATCCAATTTGTGGTACTTCCAGCCCTAGGAAGCTAAAATAGAGGATAAATATGGAATTTTTTTAAAGTTGAAAATTCTGACAGAAAAAAATTGTTAAATATGCTGACATCCTACAGACAATTAAGTGAATGAAAGTTGAAATCTAAAATTTTAAAATCAGGGAGGTCCACTTTACTGCTTAACAATAAATCCCACCTAAAGGTTGGCTAGTTTGCTGATCACTTGGTTATTTCTACAACACAATGCACAACCAAAATAAACAATAGCACAGAGATTTTCAGAACATTCCTACTGTGTCATATCATGGTGCTGATAGAAGTTAAATTCAGGCCGTTTTTGTTGAGGGGCACTAGTATCAGGCTACATTTCCATGTGGATTTTAGCCAACAATCATAAATAACAGAGAACTTGCTCATAAACAATTCCAAAAGGCAGTGTGTCAGGCAGATGGTATTTGGGGGGTGGGGTGGGGGAGTTGAACATGAGAAGCATCGTTGTGCCTTAAGTACGCTGGCCATCCTGAACTCACCATTAACTGAAGCATCAGTGGGGGTTATGGTTTTACTCAGCTCTCACGTGAGTCCAAAGTTTTAATGCTTTAAACTTCTATGCTAAAGAAATTAACCTTTTAATGTCATCAAAGTTCTGAAAGAGAAAATCTTCTATTTAGATTTTGGGGAAAGAACTTTAGACCCCAGGGAGGTAGGTACTGTCTTAACGTTCATGGATATCCACAAAAAGCTTTCATGTTTTGGCTCTTCACAAGGGTGCCAGGATGCTGGGTGCTAGAGAGGTAACCTGTGAGAATGGTGCAAATCTCACAGAGGATGTGTGCAACTTGCAAGGAAATCCTACTTTGTCAAAAATTCTGCAAGCAGTGATACTTACCTCATTTGTCCAATCTAGGAACCCAAATAGCAATTCAATGTTTAGAAAGTACTGACACAGTTAAGTGTCTCCATTAAAAGTGTCTGGAAGTGACAAAAGTAGCAACAGAGTTTGTTGAGAAGACAGCTCTCACTGATCACATTAACCTACCAAGCACTTTATTACTTTTCCCCTCACTATGAGCACAGGTAGGCTTTAACCAGAGGCTGGCCCCGTGTGGATCCTTCCATGTGCTTCAGGGAAATCTTGCCCCACTCAGATTAGTTTGTACTGAGATGGGGCTTTGATCTTCAGCACCAATATCACTGAATCTTACATTTGGCTGCATTTTTTTCATCGGGGATACACAGATACCCCTGGACCAAAATGCCATGAAGGACAGGAAGAGCCTTTGAGTTGGCCAAAGATGCAAAGGAAGGCTTCATAACAGATTTGTACTAGTATACAGCCAACATTTGAAAGACAACATAGAGAAACCAGTTGTATAAGGGTGGGGGTGTCAAAAAAGAGCTAACAAAATTTTAAACATTTTTATTGCAATTTAATTCACATGCCATAAAACTCACCTACTTAAAAAGAAGACAGTTCAATGTATTTTTAGTATTTTCAAAGTTGGGCAATTATTACCACAATATAAATTGATAACATTTTTATCATCCCAAAGCAGTGATGTATTTTTGCTCTTTCAAATTTCTTCCAATGTTATCCCATATAATAAAAGCCTAGGTGGCGTCTTGCGACATCGTCACAAGATTGCCACCACAAGATGGCCAGCACAAGATGGTCACCACAAGATGGCCAGCACAAGATGGTCACCACAAGATGGCCAGCACAAGATGGCCAGCAGGGGAAAGCAGTTGGAGGATTGGGCCGTGGCCAGCACAAGATGGCCAGCAGGGGAAAGCAGTTGGAGGCGATTGGGCCGGCAGGAGAGGGCAGTTGGGGGCAAGTGGGTGAGCAGAGGAGCAGTTAGGTGTCAATCAGGCTGGCAGGGGAGTGGTTAGGGTATGATCAGGCTGGCAGTCAAATGGTTAGGGGCAATCAAGCCGCTGAGCGGTTAGGAGCCAGCAGTCTTGGATTGTGAGAGGGATGTCTGGCTGCCGGTTTAGGCCCAATTCCACAGGGATGGGGCCTAAACCGGCAGTCAGACATCCCCCAAGGGGGGGCTGAGGGACACCCCCCACCCCCGTGCATGAATTTTGTGCACCAGCCTCTAGTTTTTATAATAAAGAATCAAGGTATAGACAGAAACTTTGATGTCTGCTACTGTGGGAAAGTTTTCCTTCGCTTGTGAAATAAGCCACAAGTACATCAAAGTGTCTTTCATTTTTAATTTTATTAGTGAGAAGGTAAATAGGTACATGAAAATCTTCACAGATATCTACAAATGTATTTAAATAAAACAGGAAAAGGAAAAGAGTTGAAATAGGATTTCAGTGGTGACTAGTCCATATTGTGTACTTATTGTATAAAAACCTCCAATTTTATAAAACTTCATTTGCCCATTTTCCACATCTTAAAAACCAGCTGCAAGAATTTTCAAAGGGGGATCTAACAAACAGAGAGACTCTAAGACAAGCACGGCACATTCTGAGTTAGGAAAGTGATTAGCAATCCTGTGACCAAAAGCAGATGTGCTCAGTGCGTGGTAAGAGGACCCTGCGTGTAGAGGGGAGCTGAGGAACTGATGCCTGGAAAGTCCTCTGACCTCAGTGTCCCCTCCTCCATTTGCTTCCACATTCTAAATGGTTGAGCGGGCCGGTGTGTGCTTGCCGGCCTCCACGAAATGCCTGTAGGTAGCGATGTTCACCCTTTTCGAAGGGACTACTCTTGGCTGCGACTGTGTTGAAGGCAGAGTTTGCCTTTGAAGCCCTCATACCATGCTCTGTTCCAGGTCCCAGTCTCCTTAGGACCTCTAGTTTCTCCATGTGTCTGTGTGAGTGCTCTCACGGGGTCCTACATTTATCAAACCCTAAGAGTTCTGAGTTCCTTCACCAATGTTGTTAGCTTAAAAGGCAATGGGTGAGTTTTCTCAGACACCTCTCATGACCAAATATCCTGAGGTGCTCATTTCTATTGGCTAAAATGGAGACAAGAGTTAAGGCATTATTTGGGGGCACAGAGTCCTGCCTGAAATCCCTCCAATCAAATCCTGTAGATGGTTATTTCCTTAGTGTAAAGCCAATTCTAGATAACTGACACCTAGGACCAGAGGCTGGTGTGGGGCCCACAGAGGCTGCTGTGAGACCCACAAATAGTTTGAAGCACGTGCGGTTCTCACCCACAGCCAGCCGCATACACTGGGAGCCAGACTTCATTCCTGACAGACTTGAAACCGCTACCATGACAGGATTTAATTCATACGTGGGAAGAATATGAACTGCATCCGTGTCTTCTTCCATGTGCCTTTCATTTGGTCTCCAAAGAAATTCTGCAGCTACAGCCAAATGGCTTGTCTCCAGGTTAAGGCACGATAGAAACTTAATGTCTGTGAGTTTGATTGTTTGGCTCTTCTTTCAAACAAAGTGTGATGTTGAAACTGGGATACAAGTTGTCCAATGGCTCTGTAAACTTAAGGTTTTGGGTCTGCTTGTTCCATCATTCTTAATATTCAGGATATTAATTTAAAAATAACTAATGCCAGTGTAAACATGCCTTAGATACATAGGTCTATAAAATATTGCACACAAATATAAACTTTGTTCAGCATTTCTTCCTAGTAATTTTTCATTATTATAAAAAGGATACAAAGTTGTGCAACTATATGAATTTGCCTGGTCAATTTTACTTCAAAAATGTTAATATTACACGTAAGTATGGCTTATTTACAAGTTTTAAACATCAAGTTTTTATGATGGTTAAATTCAAGATGATGGGAAAATACCTTACATAAAGATACTTTTCCAAAGTCATGTACTATAAAGATTATCAGTAAAAATGAGTAGTAAAGTTGGAATGGGCAATTTTAAGTAAAATTCTTGGGAATCCATTTTCTAGATTCATCTCACACCTGCATAACTTTTCACTTCCTTCCTATTTATGTGTAACATATATTCTCTGTGTACATAAAAAGTGTGAGATATAGTAGAGAAAATAGGTATTTATCTGAAGTTAAATATTGGTGTTGCTTCTTATAGATATTAAAAATATGTTTACCTATATTGTTAAATTGCTTTTCAATCAACAAACTCTAGACATTTTTCATAATTACCGTAACTTTTAAACACCACACAGCATTGAGAGTACCTTGAAATGTATGTATTGCTAATTAAGTAAATGGAACAATTATTTTTTTAAATAAAAAGAACTACAAATGTAACTTTTTGCAAAGCTACATTAAGCAGATGTGAGTCCCTAGAAAGTGTGAATATAAGTAATTTCAGGTGGAAGGCAGCAGAATATTAAAAGAAGCTATCTTCTAATACCAATTTGCTTTTCCTTAACATGATCTAAAAATCTCTATTAAATGACTGATCTGCACACAATGGTTAACTTAGAAGGACTTAAGGGTGTGATTTAGAAAACCAGCTGACCAAATCTTAATTTCCAAATCCTCTCCATGGCCAGAGAAACGGAAAATAAATAAATAAATTGTTATCCTTGCTTACAAGATTATCTTTGTTGTTTCAAAAGTACTTTCACAGTACCAACAACATATACTTGTCTCCCTGAGCCATAACATCATTAGAAATATCTCTTTTCCATAGGGAGGTGTCAAATATTCTGTAGGATACAGTAGTGTTGGAAGGTTCAGTCCTAGTTCGCCTTCTAAATTCTATCATAATCCAGTCCTTTTGTCTTTGTGACTTAAGTTGGATTTACCTGGAAAGCAGCCTTCGTTTCCATACCCACTTCAAAGTGTCTGCCAAATACAGAATGACTCCAGGGGAAGAAACATGCATGATGGCTGTTTCTACAGTGGTGAGGATGTCTCCTTCCCCAAGGCTCGCGGGGCTCCGTGGCAACGTCTCCACAGGGTGGTGTGGATGAGGCAATAGATCCCGGCCTTTCCATTTCCTAGGACACTGGCAGGTCCAGGAAAACCTTTGTTTAACCCTCATGTTCTTTCTTTTCTTTGAACAGGACCTGTCGGAGTTTTTGGTCTTTGGTTTTACCTTTTCAAGCACCAGGGGTTTTCTCATCTGTCAGCTGTTCCCTGTCATTCATATCATCTTGCGGGGGTCTTGACCTGTCAAAGAATCCACACTACAGAAAAGAAAAATGGGCTATAAAAGCAAGTCGTTCTAGGAATTTGTGAAACCCCTCATGCCAATAATGTTCACTTTATGTATTTGCTAAGGAACTTAGAGCTCTGTGGAGGTCATCTTCTCGAGTCTCCAAATGAGGGGGTGAAAAAAGAGTACCCTTAATCTGCAGAGGAATGCCCTGCATCGGGCAGTCTTCGTGCCTTCCTACTGCCTTGCCCTGATAGTGGGAGGATGCCCGTTTTATACAAACTAGGTATGGACCTTGCATCTTTCCCTGGGGTTACAGGCCCTGGCCCGAGAATGTCCTCTCTGCTTTCCTGCATGTTTTCTGGAGTCAGCAGCAGCACCAACTGCTGGCCAGGGAAGGGAGAGTCACTCCTGAAATATAGCTTCCTCAGGATGGATCACAGGAGGAAGTGAGGGGATCCTTGGGCACCCCTCTGCACTCAGTGGGGCATATAGTATATAGAGAGAAATTTATTTTAATCCAAGAACATCTTAGGACCTTTACAAAGATTTACCAGGAACTCTGGGAAGAGGTGATTCTAGAATGTTCATCCTCCTGAATTTCAAATTAGTTATTTGGTCTAGGCCCGAGGTCAGCAAACTGGGGCTCACGAGCCACATGTGGCTCTTTAGCCCCTTGAGTGTGGCTCTTCCTATGCCTTAGGAGTACCCTAATTAAGTTAATAACAATGTACCTACCTATATAGTTTAAGTTTAAAAAATTTGGCTCTCAAAAAAAATTTCAGTCGTTGTACTGTTGATATTTGGCTCTGTTGACTAATGAGTTTGCTGACCACTGGTCTAGGCGAAACCTCCTACAAACCTGGAACCTCAGTTTGTGTTTGTTGTTTCTTCATTAGGAACCCAACCCACTGGGTTTGGCTTATAATATCAAGTCGTCTTTCTGTTGTAGAACTAGCACAATGTTCTGTCAGTTGGCACATATAACTATAACATTATGGAAATACAGTTACTATAAATAACAGAATAACACAAAAGTCTATTTGTAAAGGCGTGCAAGACTATAAGGGCTCAGGATGGCACAAAACAACTGATACAGATCCGAAACGCCAATTTTTAACTTAAAAGGCAAAGTTTTCCTAGTTTAAAGGTCCAAAGCATGCTGCATATTGTTTTTAAATAAAAACACACTATGATTTTTGTAGAAACACAATAGTGGTTAAGTAAGATCTGACTGGATTAATTATTCTGACAGTCATATAATCCTGACATTGTTTCTCTTTTGAAATGGAAAGATTTGTGAAACTTGGTAATCATGTCTGTTTTGGGGCCAGAAATTAATTTCTATTGTAGATTTTTAGAACAAACTTTAGTATAACACATGAAAGAGTAAGTTAAGCCTTCCTAATGGAGACAAACCAATCGGCAAGATTAAAAAAACCCCAATAAGTCCAAGAATATTATAACATGCATGATCTATTTGCCCTACTTGACAGTCCAAGTACCAATTAATTACTATATTAATTACATCTGTGTTGTGTTTATAAAGAAAAATCTCAAAGGATTGTTGATAGGACCATTTAAATAAAAAGCTTAAGATCTTGGTTAATTAAACAAGAAAAAGAAGTCTTCATAATAACATTTTCACTCCAAGCATATTGGAAAAAAGGTCACAGGTCTTAGTTAATAAAGTATAATTCTCTCTCTATTTATTTATAATAAGTCTCAAGATAAAAGCAACCTTAAACACCCCCAGTCTTCTTAAATGTCAGTTACACAAGGGTACTGTTTGCCAAAGCAAACAAGATACAAGGTTTCTTTTATGCTTTTTAGACTGTTAGAAACCCCCAAATCACACCTCTAGTATTATCTTTTTAAATCCCTAGATAAAGCCTTCTAAATCCCTTCAGCGGCCTCTCTACTCAAAAAGGAAAAGAAAATAAAGAAACTTACCTTCCATAAAGCCAAAGTCAAAATGGCCAGAACCAATAATCCAAGAAGTATCGCTAGTATTATCACCCACAATGGGATTGAGAAGGAAACATTTGGTGTTGCCCAAATAACTGATGTCTTAATCTGAAGTGGAAAATAAAGCAAATGAGCTCTACTTAGAAAACTCTTTGGTGAAATAAAGCAGTAGTTACCAATATAATATTGGGAGTAGTTCTGAAAGGATCCATATAATAATTGAAGTCATCCTAGGAGAGGCTGAAGGGGTTATTGCTCTTGAACATGGATCTTAAAAACTCATACATTCTCATGTCTCCCAGGTTGGGTGAAAAGCCAGTCACAGATATGTCGTGGATGTTTGGCTTATAACTGCACAGAAACCCTAAAATGGAAGTGAGGTGGGCCAGGAACCAACAAGGTGGAAAGGAATGACCTTAAATTAGGCTGGACCTTTTATAAAAACAGTGGCTAAAAGTAGACCCTACAAAAGACCAAGTCTGTCTACTTACGCTTCTCCACCAAACTGAGCTAACCTTGCTGAGAGGTGAGCTTGCGCACAACTGTTGGATGTGCAGGAAAGTTAGAAATCATCTCACCCAACCCCTCATTTTACAAACGAGAAAAAATGAGTTCCACAGAGCTGATTCACAGAGCTAATCAGTGTCAGTGCCTCTTTATCTCTAGGTTCTGTGCTCTATCAAAGGACAGCCCGGAGTGTGAGGCTAGCCATCTTGCATTTGATGGAAGTAACTACAGTAAGCAGAGTGAACGGTGATGCTGAGGAGCTGCCTTCAATCCTAACTCCAATTTTCAGATACTATTAGGACTCATTTCATTCCCAGTTTGCAAGGGAACCTGGAGTTACACGAGGTCTTCTCAGCAGGCTTGCACGCTCCGTGTCTGTGAAGGACCCCTGTCTCCCAACGTGGGCAGAAACAGCCAAAACAAAACCACCACGCCGCGAACACCTTTCGTCAAGGCAAAGAGAATAAACATATTCTTGGATCCAAAACATTCTTCACCAAGGTGGCCTATCTGGCTACAGATCCAAGTAAGCATTGCCTCAGCTAAACTGTTTGAAGTGATCCCTGGCAACTTGTTGTCAAGTTGGTTGGAAGGCTCATGAGTCCAGTCCTGACACACGCTCAAGAACTCCGGGCCGCAATTCTCTGATCCACCGGTCAGGAGAGGATAAATTCATGATGAAGGTCGCTGGGCTCTCAAACTTTCCCTGGCTGGAAACATATGGATGTCTTCATAGCCTGCACTCGGGTATTGGGCCCTGAGTCTGCTCACTGCTTTGCTTCTGCCTCTTAACTGGTCTGAGCATCCTGTCTATGCTCTTCTCAGCTTGTCAGGGTTTTATTGCTCCTTTCATCTTGGCTCACTTCCTCTATGCATCAGACATACTGATGACTTAATTCACTGAGTTCTCGGGACCCAAATATCATTTATACTTAGAGCAAACAACAGAATCGACTGGAGTGAAACTGCTAGTCATTCCATATGGACGACAGTGCCAAGGAACAGAGATGGCTCTCAGAGAAAAAGGCTGGCCGTGACCTACTCATGGTTACTCATGTCCTTTCTTCCTTGGACTGTTAGCCGTCCTTGCCAGTGTTGTCCCGATTTCATCGAGCACATCAGTAGGAAGTGCAACATTCCGTGATCCAATGGCATTTTCCTTTCCCTGCTTGCCACAGTTTAAGGACAGGGCACATGGTACTGAAGAAATGCATGACAAGGGCTCAAAGCAGTCACCGTGTCCCTGGTTTCTGCAGCCTAAGTAATTTATTTAAAAACTATCCTTTCATGTGTCCTGCATGAGCAAGTCAGGGACTAGATCATTTCTCAATTCTTTTTATATCCTGCTCCCTTACAAATTCCATCTGACAACATATATGAAATCAGCATACAGTCCTCATATCTGTGGTGTTCAGAGAAAGGGCATGCAGTTGCATTTTAAAATGACCCCAATGTCACTGGGAGCAGACTGACTCTGTTTTGGTAATGAGAATTTCAGAACTTTGGAACTGAAAAGGATGGTAGTGATTGTGAGCTCACCAGCTGGTTATGTTGCTCCGGGAGAGAGAAAATCTGGAGCCACATAAATTCTGAGGTTTCTTAGGTTCTTTTTCTCCATAAGCTCTAAGGCCATGGAGGAAACACAGTTTCAGTCTATACTCTGTGCGTGTGTTAGAGATTGCGTAAATTATCGAATTTACATTAAAATAAGCAACAATGCTTCTCAATTTTCCATCCTGATTTACCTAATCTCTTAAATCACCTCCCACTGTTTCATGTTAAACATAGGGAACAGTCCTAGTTTTGTAAATAAAAAAAAAGAAAGAAAAAAGCTAAAGGAATTGAAATAAAGGCTATAGACCAGCCGTGGGCAAACTACGGCCCCGCGGGCCAGATCCGGCCCGTTTGAAATGAATAAAACTATTGAAAAAAAAAGACCCTACCCTTTTATGTAATGATGTTTACTTTGAATTTATATTAGTTCACACAAACACTCCATCCATGCTTTTGTTCCGGCCCTCCGGTCCAGTTTAAGAACCCATTGTGGCCCTCAAGTCAAAAAGTTTGCCCACCCCTGCTATAGACTGTTCAAATTTTTAGTTTAATTACAACAAATGGAATGGAATGAAAGAACGGCTACCAACTACTTTGCTGGGTTTTTGGCCAGTTGATTATTGCAGGTTGGGATGTATTTTCTTTAAATTTGGTCTGCCTGCAGAAAGGAGCAGGGAGGTTACTTACAAAGAACTAATAATGATATCTGAAGGGTGTTTTTTTTTTTTTAGGAGTGTTTGAAAAGTAGGAATAAAACATTAAATTGAACAGGATATGCCTCGTAGGAGCTCTTGAAGCAGAAAACAGCTTTACAGGGGTCATTACAAAATCTACTGGCTCTTTGTTTGCATTCACTTCTTAAGATTCTGACAGCAGCGTCTTTAAAAAGTCCACGGAGAGGATCGCTAGTGCCCCTTTCAGTTCCAACATTCTGAAATTCTCAGCACCACACTGTTGTGTCTGCTGCCAGTAACATTCTGTTCCTTTAAACAAATACCACATCATAGTCTTTCTCTGAACACTTTAAATGTTAGGTTTACACAAATTGTATATATTTCCTATATGTCATCATATGTCACTGACTACAAGGAAAGGACATAAAGAATTTTTAAACCAGGTGAACTGGAGTGACTGCCCTCCTGCACTTGCATCCTGCTCCCTTGCAGGCTGCCTTTATGACATCCATGTGGCACTGAGGCTGCCCAAGCTTCTCCACGTAAATGGGTGCAGCTTCAGCGCTGCCAGGTGTGGCTCAGGGCTGAGCATCAACCTATGAACTGGGAGATCAAGGTTCGATTCCTGGTCGGGGCACATGCCTGCGTTGCAGGCTCCATCCCCAGCAGGGGGTGTGCAGGGGGCAGTCAATCAATGATTCTCATCAATATTTCTATCTTTCTATCTACCTTTCTCTCCCTCTAAAAATCAATAGAAACATATTTAATAAACAAATAAATAAATGGGTGCAGCTTCAGGGACCTTCCTTGGCCCCAGCTGTTTTCCTAAACTTATCCAGGCTTTTCACTTGCATAGTCAAGACGTCACCACACCATGGGGAGTGAAAAACAGAAAGCCAGCAATAGTGCCCAGAGCGTTTCTTCAGATTTCCAGTGCAGAGGAGCAGACAACTGCTGCTGGAAAGAGGTGGATGAGAGTCACAAATGACACACCACTGGGAGAGTCACATGCCTCGAAAGGAGAGGTCCTTCAGAGAACATGTTGATTCGGGGCTCATGTGACATGTCACATCTGCAAATGGCAAAGGGGCATTTCATTCGCAGGTGGAAACAGGTAAGGCAAAGCTTTGCCTGAAACAAAATACCACAAATTTGTTAGTTCTAACATTGATGTTTTTCTTGCAGCTCCTTTTGACAAGCCCACCAGAAGCTTACATTGTCCATTGGATAATAAAGAATGAGAAAAATAGGTCTTAATTTTTAGAGTTTCTAATGACTAATCACTGATTTATAGTAAGAATTTTTCATTCATTTCAAATTAGATTTATTAAACACTGCATGTTCTCTGAGACTCTGTGGGCCTTCTCATCAGCTCCAAGCTGGAACCTTCTATAACCCTGCTCTACACTGCTGTCCAGGAGAAACACAATGCAAGTCTAATTTAAAATTTGTAAGTGAAACATTTTCTAGTAGCCACATTAAAAAAAACACACAAAAAAAAAACAAGGGAAAAGAGCCCTGGCCAGTGTGGCTCAGTTGGTTGGATGTCGTCCCACACATTATTAACCCACACACTGATAGATCAGCAGTCGGACTCTTGGTTAGGGCACATAACCAGGTTGCAGGTTCGATCCCCGGGATGGGTGTATGCAAGGAGGCAACTGATCGGTGTTTCTCTCTCACATGAATGTTTCTCTCTCTCTCTTTCCCCCTCTCCCTTCCTCTCTCTACAAAACAATAAAAATAATTTTAAAAAAATAATGGGGCATTAATTTTAATATATGCTTTTTAACCCCAAAAATCAAAACTATTATTTCAACATGTAGTTAATGTAAAAATATTCATGAGCTATTTTATATTCTTTTTTGTTTTTACTAACTGCAAAATCCAGTGTGTATTTAATAGTTGTAGCATATAACAATTTTCAATAGTTAAAGTGAAATACAGTCTTACCCAAACAATAAAGCTGTGTTTAATCGAAAAAATATTTTATACAACTGAAATTTTAAATTTACATTTAAATGAGTTAAAAAGAAATAAAACTATGAGTTCAGGTCCTCAGTCACACCAGCCACGTTTCAGGTACTCAGTACCCACGTGTGGCTCGTAGCTACCACACAGACTGCGCAGCTCGGGGAACGTCCCGCATGGTCTCACACAAGCTGGGATTCACTTTGCCCAAGCCTAAGGTGCTTTCACCGGGAAGGTGTTCCCAAGGCAGGAGATGGGATGTACTTAGGACCAAAGGTTTCCCTTAGGAACGTGGGCTTGTGATTACTTATTTTAAGTGTTTTAAGAAAGAAGCTAATATTGAGTAACTGAAGTACTTAAAATTTAGGGAGGAAAGTTGCATTGCATGCCAGCTAATCAACAAACCATTTTAATTTATTTTTATGTACCAAGAACCTGTAGCTATTTAAGGAAACAGTATAAAGTTTTAACAATTCACTTATTATAATTATCTGCAATTTTAGGAAGTGGGATCCATAAACTGTAAGTGGTTTAGATTTTCTTAAAGTGATTCTAAGTAGGGAACATCTAATCTTACCTTCATCATGTAGTAAATCTTATTGTTCTTTATTATGGTTGAAAGACCATAAATAAATCTTTAATATGCCTACATTTTCTCACTGACATTTATGATGTATTTTTGTATATTTTGACAAAAATAGCAAGGTAGAAGGAAAAGGACTCCCTTGTATTATGCAACTGTAATTAATGTTGACATCTGTATTTATGTATCACAAAATCTTGTGTAAACATACTTCAATGAGGTCACGAGGATGTTTTAAATAAATGTACCAAGACACCCTACCTACGGTGCCATTTTAACATAAGGTGGACCAGCTGAACACACATTTTAACAACATTTAAACAGCCCCTGTGCCAAGTAGTCCCTAGCATGAGTTCAAACTCCGAACAATTGTTTAACGTAAGAATTCCACTTTAAGCTGCTGAAGTTTTGAGAACAATTCTGAAAATTCAATGTATTCACAGTTCATGGATGAGTTTTTAAGTAAGAATTTTCCATAACATACTTCATAATAGCCACCTTTGGAATTTGGCTTTAGTCACATGGAACACAAATATTAAAATTAATTGGTAAACAAACAAAAAAGTGTTCAAATAGCAGGAACTTTTTTCCTGTGGGCTGTAATGAACCAGTGCTCAGTCCTATCCCTCCGCTTCACGCAACCTTTCCTTCCCCTCCGGACACGACTAGTGTCACGTTACGTGTGGAGTTCGTTTTTACCAACACCATGCAATGCAGCAGATGGGGACGGCCATTTCTTCAATATGTAAAGCTTATAGAGGCCTCAAGAAATGTTTGAATTATGACCATGTTGAAAGGGAGTATAAACAAGCTAATCATCCCATACAAGGGCCTAGAAAAACAGCCGAATATTCTCTAGTCTCATGACGGAAGGAGGAACCGAGAGACTCCCCCGTGGCAGAGCTGGGATCGGAGCTCTGATGATTTTCAAGCTACTGACTGCAATGAGTTCTACCACCTTAAAGCAATGCTCTCCCTCCGGGTTCTTTTCAAGATTAGAATGACGGAAACGCACTATAAAATATGTCTGAATGTTTTTCCAATTACAGTTAAGTTGTCACTTAACATCATGGATAGATTCTGTGCCTTTAAGTAAACTGACATAATGAAACCAATGTTACCACAGGCTAATTGACATAACTAAGTTCCTAGGGCATCTCATCAACAAAATGATGTTATTCTAGGACCTGCTGGTACCTTTACCTAAATGGTGTAGTAAGTCACCCACATCGGATAACAAGACTGGTTTTTAAATGCAGTAACAAGGGTGGTGGGGGTGGAGGAAGCATGTATCTGATCATTTGTGGATCTTCTGAGATGAGTTGAGAACAGCAGGCTGTCACCTGTGGCCAGCACAGAAAGACTCAATGCTGTTGATGGAATCGACTGTAACATATGTTTCTGTTAATGAACATGTGCTCAGAGACAACAAAAGGGCCCAGATTTATCTCCCTTAGAGCTACAAGCCTTTGAACCTCTCTGGGTGAACATTCTATATTAAAAACCCAAAGCCTTTATTTTCTAAGTTGAACATAAATCCAGACTATAACAGACATCTCATGAAAGAGAGGTGAACTAAATGAAGAAAGATGTGGCAGCGCTTGTTTTAAAATGCCACCAAAGTTTACTGAAATAGTTTGACTCTGAAAATCTATTGACATTTCCAATATTGGGTGTGTGGGGGGAATGTTTACTATTATTGAGACTTGAGACTGACCTTGTTCCAGGTGCTATGCAGGAGTTTTATATACGTAATCTTATTGTCTCAAAATTCTTTCTGAATATGGGTAACAACCTCAGCAAAGTAGAGTGACTTCCTAATGGGAGGGGGAGGGTGGTCCCAGGAGAAAGCCCAGGAAACTGCATTTTCCCCTGTGCCGCCTGCCTGTGCTGGAGGCTCTCAATCCTAGTTTCACTACAGAATTGTCACTTGTACATCTTTTAAAGCACAGCGTCCAAGCCGCGCTTCAGACACACGTAATCCCAACATTTGAGGTAAAGACTTAGCACGTATATATTTATTTAAAGTTGCGTGAGTGATGATTCTTTTGAATACTTAGGGTTGAAAATCACTAATCAATGGGTTAATTTAATTTAAATTACTAAAAGTACTTAGGCTAGAAAGTTTAAGTATTGCAATTACCCTCGAAGATCTATGCTGATAAGGAATTGTGGTAGTATCAATTTATATATCATCCAAAGCACTCTTCTCAAATTTTACTGTGAAGATGACACCCTGACGCTTTTGGTGAAATCAGGTCTGCAGTGAGCCTGTTTCTGAATTTCTAACTATTTCCTAGGTGAGGTTGGGGCTGTTGGTTTGTAAGCCGCATTTTGAGTAACAAGGATCTGGGGACCAGAGTTCAAGTGGGGGTTGAGAATGTCTGTGGATGACCAAGAGATGAAGGTTAAAATCTTAACACTGCCTCCTGCAGCCCCGGCTGTGATCACGCTCACTGCGAAGGCAGAGCTTTGGTGACGGTGTCTGCTCAGCCTCTCACCCGTCTCCCCTCCGCTCTGCACGGCCAGCCGGGTTGCTGAGGATGTCAGCCGGTGTGCTCTGACAGATATTTGGGGGTCCGTAATGTTTAATAGCCTCATTTTTTAAAAAATAAAATTTTGTTCAAACGAAGCCCAGGTGAAAATTGTGGTTCTTTACATAGAAAGGAAAGATCACTGTCTCATGTCCTGCAGCTGGTCTTTGGCCACTGTCCCTGAGGAAGAGACATCCCTTCCCACTCCATGTTAAAAGTAAGCAATTAGTACAATTTCATTATAATGATCATTGCTGTCTGGACTTCCTAGAAGCAAAATGGCGTGATTGAAAACGACATCAGTCCTGCCCTGTGATGTGTGTGTGTGTGTGTGTGTGTGTGTGTGTGTGTGAGGGGGTGTAGAAAGTTATGTTAAAAGGTTAAAATTTGATCAAATGACACTAAGTAATTTCCAGACTGAAATAAGAAAACAGTGAAGGGAAAACTATTCTCAAGTCAATGTAATAAGCACTTAAACCTAGTACAAGCCAGAACAGTGATTTAAAAAACAAAGTTTAAATGAAATTATTTGTGCCTGTATATTTTTAGATACTTACTGCTATGCTTCCCTCTGGGAGTTTTGCTGGCTGGTCTTTATAAGGCATCTTCTTAACTTCAAAAGACACCAGGGATGCAAGAGAATAGGGATCATTCTTTCTCTGCAATTAAAAATATTTAAATATAAATCCTATAAAGCTTTTACTGGCAGCTACCCAATTGTTTTCAGTGTTTTCCATTTCCAAACCAAAATTTCTCCCCCTTTCTTCCTTTTCTTTTACTTTTCCCCCATCCATCCATCCATCACTCACCCAACATCCATCCATCATCTACCCATCATTCATGCAGACATCCATTCATCCATCCATCCATCCATCCATCCACCTATCCAAATATCCATCTATCATCTATACATCATCCATTCATCATCATCCAACTGTCCATCCATCAAACCATTCACCCTCTTCTTACTTTTTTAAATTGTCTTATTAACAAAAAAAGACTTGCTATAATAAAGTTAAAATAAAAAACAGGAAATCAGAATCCTAAAAAGGAGTAAGCACAATCATTTACATAGTTACTGTGAGGGAAAAACAAAGAGGAAACATTGTGGGCTAAAAAATTATTGTTAGAGAGGGAAATATTTTAGGGGAAAGACTAGTACTAAGTTATAAAGAAATTTATCACATTTCGTCCTAATAGTATACAGAAGACCCAGAGCACTGACTCAGTCCTGGCACCATTAAGATTTTAGGCTGGTTGAGGGGCTGTCCTGTGCAATGCAGGATGTTTAGCAGCATCCCTGGCCTCCACCCACTAGAGGCCAGTAGCACCTCCCCCTCTAGTTGTGACAACCAAAAATGTCTTTAATTATTGCCAGTGTCCCCTTAGCCTCAAAATCCCCCTAGTTAAGAACTACAGACCTAGAGCCATATAGTGTTTTTGACAGAACTTTTCAGCAAAAGTCCTTTTTGTTTCATTGGTTCTCATATTAACTGTTGATTAAAGTCAAAGGAAAATGTTTAAGAGTAAAGTCAAAACAAGACATTCTGAGAACTTAGGCTTCTGTGCTTCTCCGTTTAATTTGAGACAGTGATTAGATTTACCCAGTGGTGGCCCTTGGCTGGCTCATATGGCTCTTGAGAGATTGTTGAAGTTTCAGGAATTGTGAGTAACAGTTGTTAAATAGAACCATTACTAAAATGTAAATTATATATACATACATTTCAGTCAATTATGTATTTTTAAAGGTAATAAATACTGAAAACTCAGTACTTTTAATTCTTTTATTGCATTTTACTATTATCTACATATTATTTATGTCTATTGTATCTGAAGGGGAAAGACTCTGTGATGGTGACCTATAGTGTATCTCTTTCCAACTCCATATTCAGCAACGTCATGTTAGCAGCTTGAAATCAGCCACGGGGAACAATATTTACACTTTGGGAATCAGTGAATGCAGACTGGTGCAGCCACTGTGGAAAGCAATATGAAGTTACCTCAAAAAATTAAAAATGGAACAGTTTTATGATCCAGCAATTCCACTTCTAGGAATATATCCGAAGAAACCCGAAACACTAATTCAAAAGGATATATGCACACCTACATTCATTGCAGTGTTATTTACAATAGCTAAGATCTGGAAGCAGCCCAAATGCCTGTAAGTAGATGAGTGCTTACAGATCTCCATTTATACAATGGAATACTACTTTGTTAAAAAGTGGCAGCCAGGCAAACAGAGAGTTTAAGAACAGAAGATGAAGAAGAGAGGAGAAGAGGAAGAAGAAGGAGGAGGAGGAGGAGGACGAGGGGGAGGAGGAGGAGGAGGAGGAGAAGAAGAAGAAGAAAATCAAACCCTTTGCAACAGCATGGATGGACCTGGAGAGTATTATGATAAGTGAAACAAGCCAGTCAGAGAAAGACAAATACCATATGATTTCACTCTTATGTGGAATCTAGTGAAAAAAAAATAAACAAAATAGAAACAGAAACAGACTCAGAGACAGAGAACAGACTGACAGCTGTCAGAGGGGAAGGGTGATTTGGGGCTGGGTGAAAAAGGTAAAGGGATTAAGCAAAAAAAATTAAATCTCATAGATACAGACAACAGTATGGTGATTACCAGAGGGAAGGGGGACAGGGGTAGGCAGTGAGGGTAAAGGGAGGGATAAATGGTGATGGAAGGAGAATAGACTAAGGATAGTGGGTACACAATACAATATACAAATGATATATTACAGAACTGTACACCTGAAACCTATATGATTTTATTAATCAATGTCACCCCAATAAAATTCAACAAAAAGTAACATAAATAGAATGCTGAATGAAAAAATTAAAAATTGAAAAACAATTTTAAAATATAAAATATTTTGAAATTAAATCTAAAAATTGTAAACATAGAAAATGTTTAAGAATTTAAGTCATTTAAAAAATAAGCTTTGTGCTGAGCTTTTGAGAAGAGGGTCTCTGTGAGCGGTGTGTATGTGCTTCATTGTTTTCTATTACCTGGAGAAATGTCTTGGCCCATAACCGTGATCTGACTTTCAGGACTGCGCTTTCTCCTCCTTCTAGTCGTCCCACTGCACAGGAGATCTGTAAGCACTCGATATTTGTACAATTCTGCAAGAAACAACAGGAACTTTAGCAAAGCACCATCTTTTAATTGTGATAGAGCGTCAACATTGAAGTCAATTTGTTCACATCTTATTTCCTCAGAAGTCATCATCTAATCCATAAATTATTAATTTAAATGAAGAACAAATACATTAAAACAACCCAGAAAAAAACACAGTTTGGTAGCAGTGATGCATTAACTTAAGTGGTAACATAAAGATAAAATGGAACATAAATACAACATAAAATTGAAGTTCTTTTCTAAGGACTTAAAATTACCTTCTTATAGCAGCAACTGAATTGTTCTGCTTCATTTTAATAGAACCCAGGGAGACATTTATTTTTTTAAAAAATATATTTTTATTAATTTCAGAGAGTAAAGGAGAAGGAGAGAGAGAGAAACATCAATGATGAGGGAGAATCATTGATCGGCTGCCTCCTGCATGCCCCATACTGGGGAACAAGCCACAAGCCGGGTGTGTGCCCTGATTGGGAATCGAACCGTGACCATGGTTCATAGGTTGATGCTCAACCACTGAGTCATGCTGGTTGGGCAGGAAGGTATTTCTTATAGACGTTCACAGCACCTGAGCCTGGACTAAGCAAAGTCCTGAAATGGCTTTTGAGGAAGGTCCCTGAGTCCATATTACCTCAAAATCCCAAAGTTACTAGCCCATTGACAAGCATTTGTTCTATAACATTCTTCTTTCTGTCTAAATTACTTCCTGGTTATAAAGCAGGATATTCTGAGAGTTTCATCCATTCAGTTGTTTTTAAACTAGTTTGTAGGATCATTCAACTTCTAATGGGTAAACTTTAATATGTAAAATGCAAGTTCCTGGAAAGTATTCATTACGATGACATTCTACCTATCAAATCATGCTTTCTGATTGGATTCCACTGTGGAAATAAATGGACACCTCACATCCATTTTCCACTTTCCCATGTACAGGATACTTCTTGAATTATACTCACTGATTTGAATTTATTGTGTGAGCTAGGATTTATTTTTTATGTCTCAAGCACTGGGCACTAGCCTATGGATGTTCAATATTGGATACTGTGTGAAGTAGTTGACTAAGGCATTGCACATTAATGAAACAGATAAAATACAGAGTAGCCTGAGGAACATATCACTATGAAAACCTTTTTCAAGACCCTCAGAATTCTCTAAAACCTGAGCAATAAGTAACATGTATCTGATAAACTCCAATAAGGTTAGATTTCTTCATAATGTTTCCAAATACAGGTTGCTGGGCTGCTCTTGTGCTACCAGTGTTTGGGTCTTGGCCAGGTTGAGAGAATCCAGGGGAGGTAATGGTTTTAGAAAGTGGTCAAGAGTGTCAAGTGCTGCCCTGGCCTGTGTGGCTCAGTTGGTTAGGCATCATCCCATGCAGTGAAAGGTTGCCGGTTTGATTCCTGTCAAGGCAGATGCCTGGGTCACAGCCTCGATCCCCAGTTGGGGGCATGCAGGAGGCAGCCAACCAATGTTTTGCTCTCACATTGATGTTTCTTTCTCTCCCTCTCGCTCTAAAAATTAATTTTAAAAAATCTATAAAAGAAAAGAGTATCAAGTGCTAAACAGGACTAAGAAAGATAAAGTTTCTGTAAACTGAGTAGTTAAAGGAGGAGACGGGGGCGATAGCTGCAAAAGCAGCAGGAGCCCGAAATGAGAAAGGCAAGGACAATTCTTAAGTAGAGGAGAAATTATTTATCAGGGTTACAGATACAGATATTCCTATGCAAATTGGAAATTATGATCCCAACACAGGATGTTGGCATTTTGCACTTTCAAATTCCTAATCAGTAATGTGATTCAGTAAGTTGTTTTTAACTAAACAAAAACTGTAGGAGGTCTTATTTAGCTTTTGATTTCAGAATAAACTTTGCATAATCACTTTCTATCCAGAATTATTTTGACTTGAGGACATGAGGAGGCATATGATTTGCAATTTTTGAATCAATAAGAGAGAACGGGAATAAAACATAGTTTAACAAAATCAGACGTGGAAATCAAGGATTGCCTTGCTCTCATCTGCAAGTAACACATTCCTATGATATTCAGAGGTTAGAAATCATCTTGCATTACAAATCTTTAAAAAGAAAGAAGAAAAGAAATCTGACCCCATAACACAAGAGCATATAATTTTTCAAAAGAATATTAGTTATTGATCTCCACTGCTTTTATATACTCATGAGACACATGCTGAAGTGGAAACTCAAAAATATAGTTGAATCTTGATTTTCCAAATTCTTGGTCCTCAGAGATTTAAACATTGGTTCGCTGGAGGGCTTTTCCCTTGGGACTGCACATTAGAATTCTATATATGTCAATCATTTTCTTTTTTGTTTATTTAAAAAAATTTTAATGAGGTGTAACTGATATATAACATATTAGCTTCAGATTACAACATAATGATTTGATATTTGTATATATTGCAAAATAATCACCACAATAAGCCTAGTTAACATCTGTTTCCATACAAAATTACACATTTTTTTTCTTGTGATGAGAACTTGTAAGATTTACTTGCTTACAGCTTTCAAATATACCATATGGTATTATTAACTATAGTCACCATGCTGTAATTACATTCTCAGGACTTAAATCATTACTTTGTGTTCTATTACTTCTGGAAGCCTTTTAAAAATAATACTATTTAGAATTTTATTAAATTATTTTAAACTCAATAGTATATCAATTCCCTATGCTTACGTTTTTCAAAACATTACAGTGTCATAAAAAGTACAGGGACTTGAATCATATAATCTGCTAACTGCCATATAGTTTTTGCCATGTAATTTCAGGTTCTTCTATTATAATAAACACTAGTGGCCCAGTGCATGAAATTCGTGTGTGTGTTGGGGCGGTGTTCCCTCAGCCCAGCCTGTGCCCTCTCCAATCGGGGACCCCTTGGGGGATGTCTGAATGCCAGTTTAGGCCCGATCCCACAGGAATCTGACCTAAACCAGTAGTGGGACATCTCTCTCGAAATCTGGAACCACTGGCTCTTAACTGTTCACCTGCCTGCCTGCCTGATCACCTCTAACTGCCTCTGCCTGCCAACCTGATTACCCCAACCCCTCTCCCTGCCTGCTTAATCGCCCCTAACTTCTCTGTCTGCCTGCCTGATCGCCCCTAACTGCCTCTGCCTGCCTGCCTGGTTGCCCCTAACTGCCCTCCCCTGCTGGCCTGATCTCACCTCCAACTGCTCTCCCTTGCCAACCTGATCTTGCACCTAACTGCCCTCCCTTGCTGGCCTAATCTCACCCCCAACTACTCTCCTCTGCCAGCCTGGCTGCCCCCAACTGCCCTCCCCTGCCAGCCTGATCTTGTCCCCAACTGCCCTCCCCTGCCGGCTTGATCACCCCTAACAGCCTCTGCCTCAGCCCCCACCATCATGGCTTTGTCCGGAAGGAACTCAGTCATCTAGAAAGATTGATAGCCAGCCATATGCACTATACTGCCAAATCGGTCATTAAAAAATTGAACTGCTTTCTTACACCTTACACCAAACAGCTGTTGCCCTTAAAACCCTTCCTTAGCCCCCACCTTAGGGTCTGCCTTTGCAGTTCACCCAGATTAGGTTCTGATTGGTCGGTTTCTATGCCAGTCAGCATCAAAAGCTCCGCCTCATAGGCAGCCATTGGCTCCTCACACTTCACCCAGATTTGGTTCTGATTGGTTGGTTTCTATGCCAGTCAGGGTCCCCGGGCCTATCAACAGAGAGACAGGGCTGATCAGCAGCCCCAGCAGAGGCCCAAGAGAAAGAGTGGCAGGGCTGCTGGCCAAACCTGGAGCAAAAGAGAGAGGCAAGTGCTGATCAACAGCTGCCATGGAGGCTACGGATCAGACCCTGTCTTTCTTTCCAGGCCTCTCTTCAGGCCTGATCCACAGCCCCCTCAGCAGTCAGTGCTGCATCGGGGTGCCCGCAGCAGCAGCAGTCAGTGCTGTGTCGCTATGGCAACCCAGCACTGACTTCCAGTCAGTCGAGCCTTTGGTTGTTTTGGATGTTATGGACCCTGGGTTTTTATATATTAAGATTCTTCTCTTGACTTAAGTTTAACTGATCAAGTTAGACTTGCTCATTGTACTTTCAGTCCATTTCCATGTTTAAAAATTTTTACATTGTCAAGATGAAATAAATGAATGCCAGAGCATATTTAAGACATACATTTTATAAAGCACCCACTTAACCCCTTTTAAGTGTATAGTTCAATGGCATTAACATTCACATTGGAATAAGTGGAAGAATTGAATAAAAAATGCTGATTCAGGAATGCTGTCCACATTTTATTAAGTACTGACTCAGCTCAGACTAGATCAACCACAGACCTCAGTGCTAAGATACAGATTTTTGGCCCAGAAAACCTGAATATACCATTCCCAGCTGAGATTCAGGAGCAGGGGCTCACTTCAAACTCTCACCAGTGCAGTGTCTGGGAACAGGCTAACAACCGAATCTTTATGTTCTTGAAATACATTAACAGTCACATTTTATGTTTTCATCATAACTTCTCCAATGTGGCCTCCATGGCAGGTTTAGAAGAATAAAATGCTACACTGCAAATACTCATTAGTCCTCACAGAATAATCACTTTCATTTCTCACAATACATACTGACAAAAAATGTTAGGCATATCTGAGCATTAGAGGATGAAAACCAATACTTGAAGTTACAGCCTTCTTTGTTGGGAATTCTGTCCAGTCCAATCTTCCGTTGGTGTGTGCACAGACAGTACTCACCAGGATTTTTGCCGGGCTCTGTCTGCGGACCTCTGGCACCGGCACCGGCACATCTCTTTTCCTGACAAGATGAGGGATGGTTGAGTTTTTCAAAAAGGCACTCAGTTCAGGGGTGTCCTTTGGGGGAGCAGCAAGCTGTAAACAGAAAGCGAGAGATCACGTACAAGCACTTTGGTTGTTTGTTACCTAGCCTCAAACTCTAGGCAATTTTTTTCACAACTGGATGTGATTCACATTAGAATTCAGACATGCTTTCTTTACCAGCAGCATTTTCAGCAGCAAAATGAACCCTGTTCATAAGGAGCAACTTTCCATTCCCCAGTTACAGGAATTCATGAGGCATGCGGATGCACCTGGAAAGTTTGTCTTATGAAGATAAGACTTGAAGCAGAAGTGATTTCCCCATAAGGTTAGAAAATGTGGGGTGAGTTTTCAGGCATGAGTCATTATTCTCTCCTTACTTCCCCCCCCCTCTATTCTATATATACATATATATACATACATATATAAAACTAAGTTTCCATGTGGAGAGATGGATCTTGAGGTGGCAGAAAAGTGAGGTGCTGACCATGGGGTGCTGATGTGGTTTAGGACCCGACTTCAGCATGTCTGAGCCCCAAACTCCTATTGCAAGAAGTGCTCCCTCAGGAAAAAAACAGGTTCTAATGAAAATGATTTTTCCTAATCAGGTCCAATGGACATTATGCCATAATAAAGTTTGTTTTCAGCTCCAAATTGGTTTTGCAAGTATTCTAGAATTTATGACTTTATCTCAGGCTCCAGGCTGGCTCATCTGATGGCTCAATCCATATTTAGAGGGGTCCAATAAATTACACATACTATCTCATTAACATTATTTTTAAAAAATATGTTTTTATTGATTTTAAAGAGAGAGGAAAGGAGAGAGAGAAACATCAATCTGAGAAACATTAATCCGCTGACTCCTGCACGCCCCCTACTGGGGATCAAGCCCAAAACCCAGGCATGTGCCCTGACCTAGAATTGAACTCAACCTTTTGGTGCATGGAACGAAATGACACCCAACCAACTGAGCCATACTAGCCAGGGCCCCATTAACATTCTTTATTTTAGACTAACCAAATACAGAACCCTAATTTTCTGCTCCCATTCCCTTCAGACAAACACATCTTTTATGCAGGTTTTTGTTGTTGTTGTTGTTTTGTAGTCACAGGAACAATAATGGTATGCTCATATCTGTGGAATGAGAAAAGACATCCTCACATGCAGCTGTAGGATGCACTACAAAAGATGAAGTTATAGTGCCCAATATGTCCTAAGAACCTAGAAAAATCTACTGGACAAAGATAGAGTCCACACTCTTAAATAATTTTTTAAAAACTATGTAGAGCTACATATAATTTAGAAAGTTATAAAATCTTAGTAAGCCCAAAGGGCAGATTACAAAATAATATCTATATATCTATCTATCTATCTATATCTATCTATCTATCTATCTATCTATCTATCTATATATATATATAAAATCCAGTGTCTGTGACGACCAGGACGACCAAATGACCGGTCTCCATGAGGTGCATTGAGCACCTCTCGGTCCCTCTCCTGCGGCCCACAGGCTCCGATCGCAGTAAGGCGGGCGGCGGGCAGATGGGGCAGGGAGCGCACTGAGCAGTGGTGGGTGGGTGAGTGGGGCTGCAAGCAGGAGCAGGCTACCATGAGCGATTTCATGCACTGAGCTTCTAGTATATAATAAGATTGTATGTTTTAATAAATATACCTTGTATATCTAGAAATAGAAAAACAACCTAGAAGAATAGTCAACTAAGTATTCCCAGTGTAACATGGGGATTAGGACACATATGTAATAACTTAATCAATAAAAAAATTTAAAAAAGTATTGCCAGTGGTAGAGATTTGATGATATTAAGGAAGTGTTGTTAATTTCTTTTTAAGTATGATAATGATATTATGGACTCTTAAAGAGTATCCTTAATTTTGGCAATGTTCAGTGAAATGGAGTGATAAATTAATGCATAAATAGGAAATATAAAGTAGTTAGGTAGTGACATTAGTAGAAATTTAAATTTTTCTTCTTTATTTTTTACATGTTATCTGACATTCTTATGATGGACATTTAGTATTTTTTAATATGAAAACAAAAAAAATTTTATACTTGTATTAAGAGTAAAAAAGAAATAAGAAAGTTGAAATAGCAAGTACAGTTTGGCTAAAAATGGAAGGGAAGCCCTGGCAAGGTAGCTCAGTTGTCCTGATATACCAACATTGAGGTTCTGCCCCTTGTCAGGGTGCATACAAGAATCAAACAACAAGTGCATAAAGGAACGGAACAAAAAGTCGATGTTTCTCTCTCTCTCTCTCTCTCTCTCTCTCTCTCTCTCTTCCTCTCTCGCTCTAAAAATCAATAGAAGTATTTTTAAATGGATGTGAAAAGGGTCCAGTTCTTGGAAGAGGATGCAGAGCCAAGTTATTTGCTTACTGCTCATTTGGAAGATGGAGGAAATTTAACTATGTTTGTAGGACCGACCCAAGGAAGAAACTGGTAGAGAGGAAAAGGTAGAAGATGCAGGACACAGAGGGGATGCTTTAGGTAGCAAGGTTAAATTTGGAAGTAAAGGAAAAATTCTACTTTCCCTGTAAGTGTGTAAAAAACAGCTGAAGATGAGGGAGAGATGATTAGGAGTGTGTAGGTGTGCGGGGATGGCTGGGGTGGAGGGAGTGGGAAAAGGGATCCTTCGAGACTCTCTTGTTCTAAGGTCACCTGTAATAGTTATGCTAGAGAAGCTGAGCAGGAGGCGAGTAGTGAAGGTTTGGAGAAGCCAACAAAGAGAATGGGAGGTAGAGATCATCAGAATGGCTTGTCGGGAGCTGGCTGCCAGTGAGCACTTCCTCCCATCCATCTGCAATGGTGCCCTCAGATTAAGAGGTAGAGACGCCTACATGTAGGACTGTGTAGGCCAAGGCTCTCGGCAGGGACTTGGAAGGATGGAGGGGGAGGGAGGTGAAGGAGGGAGTTTGTGAAGGAGTGTTTCACCCAGCTCATCACGGAGCACAGGCAGCCTTGAATAGGACAGGTTAACTGACTGGGAAAAAGTTTTCATATCGAGGAAGCGGGAAATTATAAAGACAGGAGAGTGAATTTGAGGCTTGGATGTTATATTAAATATCTGAGATTTAGAACTGAGTGGCTCAAGGATACCCAATGATGGAGAGTTTGATAGGAAAACCTTTATATCCTAAGATTAAAATTTGAGTTTAGATAGAAAATTGTGAAAGTCTCTAAGATTCCATTATATATTTTCTATCATATTCTGTGTTTATATATGTGTGTGTGTGTGGCTTTTACTTTGAGATTTAAATATATATATATATATATATTTATTGATTTCAGAGAGGAAGGGAGAGGGGGAGAGAGAGAGATAGAAACATCAATGATGAGAATCATTGATCAGCTGCCCTCTTCACGCCCCCTACTGGGGATTGAACCTACAATCCGGGCATGTACCCTGACTGGGAATCTAACTGTAACCTGGTTCATAGGTTGCCATTCAACTACTGAGCCATGCTGGCTGGGCTGCTTTGAGATTTATCATGTATAATTTCTTTCTTTTTTTAATAGGCCTTTGGGTGATCTCTTAGAGTTAATTCTGTAGGTAACCAAACTACACAGAAGAGATGCTAGAAGGAATTAGAGAGTGTGTATTTTTTTCCCAAGTTACAGCCCATTATTATTATTATTATTATTATTATTATTATTGATAGTAGTAGTAGTAATCCCATATAATAAAAGCCTAATATGCAAATCAACCAAAGGGCAGAACAACTGGTCGCTATGATGCACACTGACCACCAGGGGGCAGATGCTCAACACAGGAGCTGCCCCCTGGTGGTCAGTGCACTCCCACAGGGGAAGTGCCGCTGAGCCAGAAGCCAGGCTCACTGCTGGCAAGCACAGCGGTGGTGGCGGGAGCCTCTCCTGCCTCCATGGCAGCACTAAGGAGCAGCAAGCCAAGCAGTAAGGAGCAGTGAGCAGGCGGGCAGTAAGGAGTGAGGGCTCCCGGACTGCAAGAGGGATGTCTGACTGCTGGCTTAGACCCGCTCCCCATGGGGAACAGGCCTAAGCCGGCAGGTGGACATCCCCTGAGGGGTTCTGGACTGCAAGAGGGCGCAGGCTGGGCTGAGGGACTCCCCCAGCCCAGTGCATGAATTTCGTGCACTGGGCCTCTAGTAGTAAAATAATAGTTTAAAGAGAAGAAAACTCCAAATTCCTGTGTGGTTCCATTGGATGCAGCAGCCTGTGTACAAAGAACACAACCTATTGGGGTGGGTCCAGTATATCATTATCAAATATTTATAAGTGGTATTTTAGTAAAACATAGGACTTACTACTCTGAGCTACAGAATGAATATATCACGCAGTGGAAGTTGATAAAACACATTTCTCTTTTTAGCAATGTTACTTTACAGATCGAGGGAATGCCACTCTTAAACACCATAGTCAGAAAGCCTTCAAATAGCTTGCAAACCAGTTTTCTCAAATGACATTCCAGAAATTATTTCAAAATACAGAAAACAAAACAAAACCCCAAAACAAAAAAACAAGAAGTTATCCAAGAAATGTAAACAACAGTGAAGCCTATTTTCCAGATGAACTTTTGGAGTCTGTTTCACAACAGAGTGTGACCCACAGGTCATGTTTTTCCTTAATCTGAAATCCTTAGAGGTGAGGAAGGCTGAGCTCTCAGCACTCATGTTGGGCAGACATTCAGTTCCAAGTAACATTTGCTAAGTGCTGAGAGAAGCTGGTGGTAAACACTAAAGTATCTTCTTCAGAACAAATATGAAAATTGCTCCTTTCTGCAATAAGGAAACAATTGTTAGTGAATACGGCTCTTCCCCCAGCTGCCACTCAGATTTTGAACCCAACTGGAGTTTTCTATTTTCATTACTCGTCACCAAACCCTTCGCTCTGGTATAGGATTAAATTTCTAGAATTCTGTGTAGCTGGAATATTGCAATCCAGTTGGAAAACAGCCTTTGAAGAGAAGAGATGGATGAAATGAGATGAAGGGCTCTGTGAACCCAAACAAGTGCAATGTGTACTATCTTTTTCTTGTTTGTCATTTGCTTTTGGACTT